TATTTAGTAGAGTTTACGAGAAATGAACCACTTCCAAACCAGGATCAATTTATGCAGGTGGTTAATCTTTATGCGGAAAATGAACCATGGCAGATTTTTGAAGGCACTAAGAGCTACACACGTTACTTCATAACGCCCCAAAAGAAAAGAATTTGAAATGGAAAAGAGTTGCGCGAACTGTGGGGAAGGGTACGTGGAAGCCACAAGGAAAGGGAAAAGAGGTGTTTGACAAAAAAGGTAGACTTATGGGGTACGTGAAAAGTTTGAAGTACACCTACGACGAAAGTAATAACAAGAATGCTAATGGCGAGTGGCTAATGATTGAATACTCTTTGTATGATGGTTATTTGGGTGCAAAAGAAATTAAGAATAAGGGTCATGTAATATGTAAGATAAAGAAGAAGCGTAAATTCACTAGCGATGAGAATATGAATGACGTTAAAGAACTTATTGATTCATCTTTGTAATTAGAAGACTACATTATTGTAGAGGACGACGATGTTAGAGATGAAGTACTTTCTATTATGGACAAGGAAGACGATGATGATCCTAATGTAGAATGCTTAGAGGGACATCCATAAGCTGATATTAATCTTGAAAACATAAACTTTGTTGTAGAATTTATCAATTAGTATACTCTCAATTTTTCTTGTAAGCTAATATATATCGTATCTTTATTTTCCATTTGTTTTGTCTATGCAATCAAGTACATACAAATTTTTTGACTGATTCTTGTCTTCCTAACGTCTAATAAATCAAATTCTACTTTATTAAATTGTTGATGGAAAATAAAAATATTTACTTGACGATAAATAAGTTACGTACTATAACATATAATAATATAAAATTTTATCACACTAATAAAAATAAAGAATAGTCTGGTGCACTAAATTCTTATTACACGTAGCATAAGGATAAACTAGTTATGTACTATAACACCTAAACTATAGAATACATGTCCTAATAACTTATACTAAAAATGAAGCAAAGATGGCAAATAATTTTAGGAATATAAGGTTTAAATTAGAAAAATTATGGTTATTATATAATTAAGTGAGTTTAATGTACAAATGATTTAAACTAATAAGTTACTTGGGTGCCTCAACTAGAAGTCACCTATGATTTCTGTCAAATTTCTGTATACAACAGTTTTAGTTCAAACTCTAAGTTAAGAATAAATTACTTTCTAATTTTTTTAAAAAAATTGATTAAATGAAGTAACTGAAAATCATTAAAATTGACTATTAACAAAAAAGAAAATTAGAATCATAAATGAATTCCCCCAAAAAAAACCATGTGTTTTTCCCATGTTCTTTTTGTTTTAATTTTATGAAAATATTTAGTGAGATATCCTATAAAAGAAAAAAATGGCTATAAATATGGAAAAAATAAAAGTTAAAAGAAGGTTCATTCACATATAGTTGTCTTATATCACTAAAAGAAGGTTGCATAACTAGTAAAATTATAGTTGTGATCATGAGATCATGGATTCAGAAAAATAACTTCTTGAAAAAGTTACATGATAAGAAAGTATACATGATAAGATTGTGTATATAGATTCTTGTGTCCAAATGTTTTTATGATTTTCGCGCCTAGCGAAAATTAAGTGCACCATATTATATCTGAATTCACTTTCAAAATTTAAACTTGATGAATTTAACTTTTAAAAGGTTTTTAATATTGTACTTGTTGCATATGCTTTCAAAATTATATATTCAAACTTGGTATTAATTAATATTTAATAAATTTTCATCTATGTATTTATGCTTCAAATTGAAAGTACTTAATAGGCTTTTGACCATAAATATTAAATATTTTTCTAAAATGAGCAAATCTTTCAAACTTGATTAATTTACCTAAAATAAATAATCAAATATGATCCAAAAAAGTAATTTCATATATAATGAATAGATGGCAAAAAAAAATTATTTCTTTTTGCCACATTTACATTAGCTGGCTTTATTTCATTCTAAGCCATAAATGATCAAAATTATATTCACAAAATCTAATAACTATTCCTTAAAAGAAAATTGACCATTTTAAAAAGAAGAAAAAATTGAATTATTATTTACCAAGTGATTAATTACTCTAAAAAAAACTCAAAAAAATTCTTCAAAAAATGGAGAAACTTCAAGTCCAAGATGATCTTTTGCTTGCATGTTCAGTGAGAATGCATGGATTAGACAAGTGGGAAATGGTGGCCGCTGAATTCTCCAAAGCCATTTTTCATTTTCGTCGATGTGTTTTTAACATATCGCCAGTAGAATGTCAGATCAAGTACGAAAGTTTAAAAGAGCGTTTTAAGAATTTGTATCAGATGAATTTTAATGAAGAAGATGACGATGAAAGTGCACTCGTAAAGTTGATGACAGATATACTTACAGAGACTTATATAAATGCTTTGAGAGAGGAATTCAAACTATTTGATGCTTTGATTGAGTAAGATCTATCTTTTTATTTTTAAAAATAGCAAAAAGAAGAAGAAAAAACCCTCTTTTTTCCTTTTTGATTTAATTGTTGTTTATGATGCTTGGAGAATTGGGGCTTTTCATGATTAATTTTTTGTATGATGGATTTTAAAAAATAAATAAATTGATTAATAGGGGACACAAAAATATAAGGTATATATCTTCTCTAGATCTTAGGAGTTATAGGGCACAAATAAAATATGGTACAATCTACCACTAATTTTTTTTTCTTTTTTGTTGAGTTAGAATTAATTATGGACTTTTTGAAGACAAATTTCATTGTTAATTCATCATTTTTTTCTTATAAAAAAAAAACTAAATAATTGTTAGCTTAAAAAATTGGTCCCATAAAATATAATTATGCATTAGTTTTGACTTCTTTAATTGTTCAAATTTATGTTTGTAGATCTAATTTTTAGGTACACTAAGAAAAGCTAAAAAGGAAAAATCAAAATTTTGATAAGTTAAATTGTTTAAATAAATTTGTAAACAATTTCTCAAACAGTCTGTACAATTTGTTGTCTCTCTTCAATTACATATATTATTCTTTTCGATGATTTATAACAAGTATTTCTAATTTTCAATTATAAGCCTAAGAGGGTGAAATTATATATACTCATTTTTTGTAAGTTTAACAAGAAGAAGACGATTTGATGACTAATATATATCTTATTTATTTTATGTTTATATAGAAAAAAACTTCAAATGCTTTACAAATTAGAGGCAGAAAAGAGAATTGCTGATAAGGAAGAAGGAGATGATACATCTAATGACAAAATGGATAATATCGATCAAGATTTTATAGGAGTTCTTGATATACTGAGGTCTCACGAATATTGTTGTTTTTTTGAATCTCGACTTTCCAGTCAGGTATATTGATTGCTAGTCTATCATTAAATTTTATATATCTAGTTGTGATAAATTCTTAATGTTCAACGACTAAAGTTATATCGTCTCTATTTCTTTTAGTGTTTGATTTACAAAAGATGGATACATATATATTTCTTTCACAAAAGTGAATCTTCTTTTTTTTCCTTCTATTTTATGTAATGTTCTTTCCTCTTTAATTTATATTGGAAATTTTATTTTATTTTTTAAAGAAAACTTAGAAATGATTGAATTTTGAACTCCACATCTTTTTACCCCCTAAGGACATGTTTAATTATAGCCACATATTAATTAATTTGACTTGATGTGAAGGAAAGAATTTTGGAACTTATAATCTTAAATGCGTCATAATATTAGTGCTAATTATTTATTGTCTTTTTTTCAAGAAAGTGATCTAGATTTTGGTTATATCAAGCAAATTAAGCAGCATATGGATTTACAAATTATTCAAAACAAGCTAGAACAAGGTATTTATTCAAACATGAAATTTGCCAGCTTCTTCAGAGATCTCTTATTGATGTTCAACAATGCTATCGTTTACTATCCAAAAGACACTCTTCAATACTCCACCGCGTTTGAGCTCAGAGCCATTGTTGTGAGAGAGATGGGTAAAACAAGAAGGTGCTTGAGTTTATAGGCGCTCTTTAGGTGTTTTGAATTTGTTTGTTTTGTTGGTACGATAATATTTCGCAGTTTATTATCACCATGGATTAAAACTGCTTTTTTCCCCCCAAATTATGTGTTTTGAACTTAAAAAAATGTGGCATGATTGAATTTGCATAATTCTTTTTTTTGTCTAAGTTATGTGTGAGCTAATGTTCATTTTTTTTTTCTCTAATTAGTTCAACATAAAGAGTTTTTTTTAAAAAAAAAAAAAGTTACATGAACTTCTTTTGTTTTTTTGACCTAGGAATAAATAAATAAATATCAAATTATTTGATTTTCTCATATATATCGTAGTCCAATTTTTTGTTTTTTTTAAAAAAAAGTTTTAGGTATTTGAAGATAAATAAGTTACGTTATAGAGTACATGACCTAATGATATAAAATTTTATCACACTAACAAAAATAAAGAAATAGTCTGATGTACTAATTAAACTCCCATTACACGTAGGATAAGGATAATCACCTTCTTTTATTTTTTGACATAGGAAAAAAATTAAACAACGAATTCACTCAAATTTCCCATATATATATCGTACTCCATTTTTTTTTATTTTGATAAAAGCTATATATAACATGAAGATAAATCAGTTACGTGCTATAACAAATACATACATTATATAATACATGTCTTAATAATATAAATTTTTATCACACTAACAAAAATAAAGAACAGTCAGGAGCACTAAAGTCCCATTACACGTAGACTAAGGATAAATAAATTACGTACTGTAACACATACACTATATCACACATGTTCTAATAATATAAAATTTTATTACACTAACAAAAATAAAGAACACTTCGATGTACTAAACTCATATTCCGTAGGATAAGGATTTTTAATAAAAAAGAAGTCCGTAACTTCCGTAACAAGGAATAATGAAACGATAAGTTAATTTATTTATTTTCCTCTTTTATAAAAGAAGACAAGAAAAAATATTCTTGATTATCGTTATTTTTACACAAAGTCGTAAAAAATAAAAGAAAAAAGTATGGCAAAAATTGAGTTTGATGATTTAATTGATGAACCAAAATCTCAAACAAGAAGTGTTCGTTGCAAATATTCTGCAATTCAAAATAGTATTTCTGGTAATTTTTTCGTATTTTTTTATTGTTGTTTATGTGTTATTTTTCTAGATATTTTGTAAAAAAGATGAATTGAAGCTGTATGCAGCTTAGCGTGTGTGACTTATATGTTATGAGTTTGAGTCGTGGAAACAGTTGTTAATGATTATGTTAAAATAAGCTAATTAGGTCTCTTTTTATATTAATATTATTATTTTGTAAATAAGATTTATTTTGTTTTTGATGTGTTATACAGAGGGAAAAGATGATATTGGAAGTGTTAATTCTGAGAAGTTTAAGAAAATTATGAAAGAAATTGAAAGTTCTCATAATGAAGGTATTTTTTCTGGTTTTTTTTCTTCTCTATTTCTTTTGTTTTGTGATATGACTCTCTCTATATGTATAAACAAGTTATTTAACTTGATCTCAGCTGGCAAATTTAGTTGTGAACAAGGACACGCGTAAACGAGTTATTTAACTTGATCTCAGTTGGCAAATTTAGTTGTGAACAAGTACACACACATCTTACATGACATATTGATGTTGTTGTCTCACTTTTGGTATAAAATCGATTTTGGCTTTTTTATAATTAAAACTGTTTTACCAACATGGGTTGTGATGTAGTGGTGGAACTTTTTCAACCTTAACCAGAGGTATCGGGTTCGAGTCTTGGATTTCATGTTGGGAGCGTCACCCCCGAATGGGCCCTGTAGTGTGCGATCCGAATTTAGTTAGGGCTCCAATGTGGGCTCCAGACATTGAGTGGGAAACCAAAAAAAAAAAGTTTAAAACTGTTTACTGTTTCAATTTGTTTGTCTTACTTTCCTATATGTTGGCAACTCTTTAATTTCAACGTGTTTAAGAATACAAAATTAAAGAACATTTTGATGAATATCTTTAGTTTAAGGTCATAAGATTAAAAAGTATTTTTATTTTCTTGAAATCCGTGTGAAGTCAAAACCAGATAGACGAACGAGAGAGTATTAACTTATTCATTGTTGTGTTTGATTGTTAGTTAAAAAGCCAAGAGAACAAGTTGCAGATGCAGAGACATTGTTAGATCTTGCCAAAACTTTGGTGTCTTCTGTTAGATCACATTCTGCTGATGGAATTACACCGAATATGTTCATCTCCTCATTGCTCGGAGTCTTTGGGACGCAAAGTCCCAAAAGACTCTCTCGGAGTGCAACTACGTTACATTGGAAGAAAATTGGGCGTTCTGTTTCGCCAATTTTTAGCAATGGCATCAGTGGTTTTCACACCATGTGAGTTTTTGTTTTGGCAACTTTTATTTTGCTTCACTTGTGATCTTGCATTTTTTATGTTTTGTTGCTTTGTTCTTGAAGGATTGGACCTATGGATCGTGAAGTTAAGCAACGTAAGTATACACGTAAACCACGTTCAAAGTTGTACTTGCGCGCTCAACCAAAGGAGGTATGTTGTTTCTCATTGTTTTTGTTGTTGTAAAAGTGTGTTTTGTAGTACTCATGTTCATGTATGAGTGCATTTAGTAAATTCCCTTACTTGGTGTCCATTTTTGGATTTGTTATCATCTTGATGGTTTCAGTGTTCTGTTTACCCACCTAAACTATCACCTTTTCGCAAGTTTCATACCTTAACTATCATTCTTTTTATACTAAAACACATCTTGATGCTAAGTTGGCCTACATGTGCCTGTTGTCAATTGATGTCTGAGTGCATTTAGCAAATTCCCTTACTTGGCATCCAATTATGATTCTTAACTATCGTCTTGATGGTTTCATTGTTCTGTTTACCTATCTAAACTATCACCTTTTCGCGAGTTTCATACCTTAACTATCACTCTTTTTATACTAAAACACATCTCGATGCTAAGTTGGCCTACATGTGCCTGTTGTCAATTGATGTATGAGTGCATTTAGCAAATTCCCTTACTTAGCGTCCAATTTGGATTCTAACTATCGACTTGATGGTTTCATTGTTTTGTTTACCTATCTAAACTATCACAGCTTAGTATGATGTAATTTACGTGTTCTGCCTCTATCGCAGCTTGATGTTAACGCGGAGGAGATAACAGACACGGACAAGAACATATCAACCATGTTTCAGATCTTAAGGAAGAAGAAGAGAGTTAAGCTTGAGAATATCATACTGAACAGAACATCCTTCGCGCAAAGCATAGAGAATTTATTCGCGTTATCTTTTCTAGTGAAAGATGGACGAGTTGTCATAGACGTGGATGAAAATGGAGCTCATTTTCTCAGTAAGATACCTCTCCGAATCTTTTGTTGACTATGTTCGAGCTGTGGAAACAACCTCTTGCAGAAATGCAGGGTAAGGCTGCGTACAATAGACTCTTGTAGTCCGACCCTTCCCTGAACTCCACGCATAGCTTTTTTTTTTTTTTTCCCTTTCTTATGTTCTGCTCTTTTCAGCTCCAAGGAATGGTCCTGATGCCAATTTAGTTAAGTCTGGTGAAGTAAAATACAGCCACTTTGTCTTCAGATTGGATTTTGCTGATTGGGAGGTAAGGAATCTCTACATCTGTGTCGTGTTTCTCTTTTACACGTACCTTAAGAACTCGTATTTTCAAGTTTCAATCAAATCTATGTCCAAACGCTAACCTAGTTTAACAGGATCCTAGTGTGTTTTATGACATACATTCGCGATATTCTGGATTTGATTTCTTTGTTAAACGAGCACTCGATGAACTTACCATATGGCATTGTTCATACAGTTGATGAGGAAAGCAGTAGCAGAAGGAGAAGAGTTGATGCCAAACAGGGAAATAAAGGCGAGTCCAGTCTTTACTGAAGATAATAAACCAGACAAGGACATGTCGACGAATCCAGTCTATACTGAAGCTTATAAACTAGCTACAGTTGATGGTTCTAGACTCAGATTACGTATCACTCGAGTCAAAATATTGTCAAGGAACCATGGTGAGGTTTTACGCGAAGGTTCAGATGTCGATAACTCACCTGAAATTGGCAATGGGAGGAGCCTGAAGAGGAAGTTGCTATGAACATATAGTTTTAGTTGTCCTTTAAACTGTCTATATATAGGCCATTTTGGTGTAAATAAGAAATTGTATACATTCTAACTGTCTTAGGATCAATTTTTTGTTGGTCAGGTTAGTAGATAGTCGAGCGTTGTCTATTTGTCTTTGTTAGTAGTGTTATTTTAGTTTTCTTTGTTTCAATTATCGTAGTATTTATTGTTGTTACTGTTCTCTTCTTTCATTGTTTACAAAACATGACTTTTTCACTCCAATACGTGTTTTTCATACCGGATTTTGATATGCCATCCACCATTTTCATCTCAGCTTCCAACAGGCTGCTAAGGGGTTTTCAAACAAAACAGCTAGAAGTACTTGCTTCACGCCTCGAGTTATTTCTCATAGATGAACTGAGAAAGTTAACAACAAAACTAGACTCTTAACTTCATAAGAACCGGTGTTGTTGATATCTGTGCATAGGGTCATCCTCGTCTTAGTCTCCAACGGGCTGCTAGGGGGTTTTCAAACAAAACAGCTAGAAGTACTTGCTACACACCTCGAGTTATAACACAGATCATCTCAGCCTCAAACGGGCTGCTAGGGGTTTTCAAACAAAACAGCTAGAAGTACTTGCTACACACCTCGAGTTATAACACAGATCATCTCAGCCTCAAACGGGCTGCTAGGGGTTTTCAAACAAAACAGCTAGAAGTACTTGCTACACACCTCGAGTTATAACACAGATCATCTCAGCCTCAAACGGGCTGCTAGGGGTTTTCAAACAAAACAGCTAGAAGTACTTGCTACACACCTCGAGTTATAACACAGATCATCTCAGCCTCAAACGGGCTGCTAGGGGTTTTCAAACAAAACAGCTAGAAGTACTTGCTACACACCTCGAGTTATAACACAGATCATCTCAGCCTCAAACGGGCTGCTAGGGGTTTTCAAACAAAACAGCTAGAAGTACTTGCTACACACCTCGAGTTATAACACAGATCATCTCAGCCTCAAACGGGCTGCTAGGGGTTTTCAAACAAAACAGCTAGAAGTACTTGCTACACACCTCGAGTTATAACACAGATCATCTCAGCCTCAAACGGGCTGCTAGGGGTTTTCAAACAAAACAGCTAGAAGTACTTGCTACACACCTCGAGTTATAACACAGATCATCTCAGCCTCAAACGGGCTGCTAGGGGTTTTCAAACAAAACAGCTAGAAGTACTTGCTACACACCTCGAGTTATAACACAGATCATCTCAGCCTCAAACGGGCTGCTAGGGGTTTTCAAACAAAACAGCTAGAAGTACTTGCTACACACCTCGAGTTATAACACAGATCATCTCAGCCTCAAACGGGCTGCTAGGGGTTTTCAAACAAAACAGCTAGAAGTACTTGCTACACACCTCGAGTTATAACACAGATCATCTCAGCCTCAAACGGGCTGCTAGGGGTTTTCAAACAAAACAGCTAGAAGTACTTGCTACACACCTCGAGTTATAACACAGATCATCTCAGCCTCAAACGGGCTGCTAGGGGTTTTCAAACAAAACAGCTAGAAGTACTTGCTACACACCTCGAGTTATAACACAGATCATCTCAGCCTCAAACGGGCTGCTAGGGGTTTTCAAACAAAACAGCTAGAAGTACTTGCTACACACCTCGAGTTATAACACAGATCATCTCAGCCTCAAACGGGCTGCTAGGGGTTTTCAAACAAAACAGCTAGAAGTACTTGCTACACACCTCGAGTTATAACACAGATCATCTCAGCCTCAAACGGGCTGCTAGGGGTTTTCAAACAAAACAGCTAGAAGTACTTGCTACACACCTCGAGTTATAACACAGATCATCTCAGCCTCAAACGGGCTGCTAGGGGTTTTCAAACAAAACAGCTAGAAGTACTTGCTACACACCTCGAGTTATAACACAGATCATCTCAGCCTCAAACGGGCTGCTAGGGGTTTTCAAACAAAACAGCTAGAAGTACTTGTTTTACACCTCGAGATGTAACATAGAGATGAATTGAGAAAGCCAACAAAAAAACTCAACTCTTAACTTCATAGATCGAGTGTTGTTGTGTGTGCATAGGGCCATCCCCTGTTCTCGTCACAGACTCACAGCCTCCAACGGGCTGCTAAGGGGTTTTCGTTCTTTAAATAGACAACAGTGTTTTGCTGACGCCTTGTCAAACTTATCAACACAAGAGAAGTAGAGTTAAGGTTTCTATTTCAGCAAATATGGGTAGGGACATTATAGTGAAAGATGATTATAACTGGAAACTCATTACTTCTATTTACTCTATAAAAATATCAATCATACAGCAGTAGATAATTTCACGAAAGCCGATGGCCGAAAACTCTTGGCTCTGACCATAAGAATGTTGTGGAAAAAAAAACACAAATACAAACTCGTCTAACACGCGATATCTTCTATTCCGTGCTCTTGGGAATGTTGAGGTCTTTAAATATAGGACTGTCGACTCCCACGCCCATTGCATTCAAACCATTGTCAACATATATAACAGCACCAGTAATTGCTGAAGCGAGTGGTGATGCTAGGAATGCAGCTGTATTCCCTACTTCATCTACGACAAGTTTTTTCCCCGAAAGGTATATTAACAACAGACAAGTAGGATAAGGTAAGAGACGGTAAAGAAGAGATTTTTAGTGAGAAATAACTTGTGTGGATGATCTTTACCTGCTGATAATTCTCTCTGCAGAGGTGCGTTGGCTATGGAGTAGTCAATCATCATATCTATGAAACCAATTGCTTTTGCAGCTCGACTTCGTAAAGGGCCTGGATAGTGATGTTTCTCTTATCAATAAAAGATTTTGTATGAAGGGAACATTACATGAAAAAGTGAGTTGGATAGTCCCTCCGACTCAATTTAAGTGTCTTACTTTCCTTTTGTCTATCCCAAACAACAATTTCTCTTTCTATGTTTGGTAACTCTCTAATTCTAACATTCTACACGGCATGTTTAAGACCACAAAATTCAAAGGACATTTTAGTACATTATACACATCTTAAGTTTAAGACCACAAGATTAAAAATTCTTCCTTCAATTATGTGAAGTCAAACAAAGATACTTGAATTGAAACGGGAGGAGTAATTTGGTTGAGGTGTTTTCATGTAGAAACTAGAATCTAGGTACCAGGAAATGTACGTAACACTATCAAGTTTCAATTGTATTAAAGACCTAACACACAATGGTGACCAACATCGAAGAGAAAACGTTCGGTTTGACTAGTTAAACAATTATTTATGGGAAGATAGGTATACAAGATGATAACAAATGGGCGTTACAGAGAGGGAAAATAACCATCACATTTCTGATCACCCTTGCGGAATAAACTAGTAACTTTATAGGATTTACAGTTAATAGTAAATATGGACAATCCAACAGACAATGAAGGGACAACATACCAGCAGATATTGTGTTCACCCTAACTTTCTGTTTTCTTCCAGCCTCGAAAGCAAGTACCTACATCATTCGAATGATCCCTTTCAATGATTAGATGCAATAAAATGAGGGCTATTAGAGATTCAAGGGGCGAAAACCGTTTGGCTTTTCGTCTGATTTTCTTTTTTCGACTGGTAGAGAATATGGAACAACTCACTCTGGTGTCACTCTCAAGTGCTGCTTTGGCAGAACTCATTCCCCCTCCATATCTGTACATGACACATTTCAACCGATGATTCCTCATAGGGACAGATTTAAAATATAAAATCTTAACGAAAAACAAAACAAGAAAAGGGAAAGAATAATGTGTACCCTGGAATGATCCTCTCCGACGCAATATAGGTCAGAGAAATCGAAGAACCACCTGTAATAAAACCATTATTGATTTCAAAGGGAATATTTTGGGAAATTACATAATTGTAAAAATCGACAAACAAGGGGTAATAAGATGGAAAACTAGATGCATGCCTGGGTTCATAATTGGAAGGAAATGCTTTAGCAAAGATACATAGGAATAACTTGATGCTGATATTGCTGCAAGGTATCCTCTCCTTGATGTCTCCAAAAGAGGTTTAGTCACCTAATGGTTGAATGATTTCATGAAAAAGGATCACCGATGAAGAAACACTGGTTTACAATTTCGAAAGATGATACCTCTGGCCCATTGGCAAGTGAATGGACAAGAATGTCGATGCTGCCAAAATCCTCCTTCACAGATTCTGCAACTTCCTATAAACAAGAGAAATCAGGTGTGGAGAAAATGCAACACTGATACAAACGTCAGAGGTCGAAAAATTAATATCAGGGAGAGAAGACGTCCTGATACAAGCCTAATATGATAGCCAACACAAACAAAAGAATAACTGCAGCAGAGATAAGAAAAGTGGATAACTATAATTTGCTTTATGCATGTATGATACTCCTTCCGTATCAATTTGTTTGCCTAGTTTCAACCTGACACGGAGTTTAAGAAAGTAAAGAAGACTTTTGAACCTTGTGGTCTTAAACTAAAGATACGTAGAACATACCAAATGCCCTTTAATCTTGTGGTCTTAAACATGACATGTGGAAAGTTAGAATTAAAGAGTTGTCAAAAAAGCGAAAGAGAATTATTTTTTAAATGGACTAAAAAGGAATGTAAGACCAACAAATTGAGGAGGGAGTAATAACTAACAACCATGGCGCTGCAGAAGGTGGGTGAGGCAGCACAACCATTAGTAGAAGTTCGGTGTATACTTGAGAAAAAAGCAATAGAAACACGAACTTGGAACACTTAAATTGAGGTAAATTGATATTATTGGTCGCCTATCAGTTCACTCGACAGCCATGCACATCATGTTGCGCATATTTCCATCATGAATGCCTGTAGTTTCTTAAAAGGAGGTGGGGGTGGGGGATGAAGAATGCCTACAGTTTCAAGTACAAGCAGAATTTGAAGATTAAGGAAAATATGATAGATACTATTGATACATGAGACTTTTAAGAAATGTTGATTCAATTGCTTTCAGTATGCAGAATCAAGCCCCGAAAAGGAACCTCAAGAACAATCACGATGCATGTTTTACATATTTTACTTTCTGGCAATTACTCATTGTGTTCAGCATGCACAAAGAAGTGTGAACGGGGAGAACTACATACCGAGACTGTCCACTTAGAAGAACCAGCATAACGCTTATTTGTTTTTATCTGCATGGTGAGAAAAAACTAGTATTAGGAAAAT